GAGGATACGACTTTTTTTTTCTTTTTCGAATCTTTCAGACACCATCATATTGCAGTATTTCCTAAGATTTTCAAGGTCTCATGCCACGAACACTGGAGAAATTATTCCGAGAACCAAAAATGTATCTACAGTATTTCCTATTTCTTTCAACTGACATTTTTAAAGGTTTAATGCCAATCGGAAACACCAAAATGTTATCGCCAGGTGGAGCAGATTCACAAAGGTTTCCTAAGATAAATGAAAGTATATGATAATAATAATTGTAAATGAAAGTATATGATAATAATAATTGTAAATGATGGTCTATGAAGATGCACCTAATCCGCCAACTTCAGTTTAAACACGAAAATAAGACCCTAAAAAAACCCTATAATACTGACAGATTACAGTAGCTTAACTACAGTAGAAATGTTGAGTACACTGAACGATTAGCCTGGGAGATAACGCTACAGAATAGTTCCCAACAGATTCTCTACCAGTTGCCAAGTGGAGGGAGGCATCGAGTCAAAAGTTGAATTTCAATACAACTTGATATTTCTGGACGTTAGTTGCTTCCTTTATAGGTAAAATTATATAAAGTTTAGTGCAGTCATAACATTTTCTTACGAGGCACCAACCAGACACTCACTAGACCATCACAAGGCATAAATGACTAAGCTACAGTACTTACAAATGAACAAAAATACAAACTCAACAAAGTGCACGAACAAACTCTTGATTACAAAAAAATAAATAAAAGTACAATAATTTTTTAATGTTTTACAGTTAGAGATAATAAATAATGCAAATATTACTTTAAGAGTGGCTTTACCCGGGTCCAGTTGTTAATTTTGTTTGCCAGGGAGCCGGGCATGTCAGCCTGTGCATAAAATAAACGACCTTCCCAGTCCCACGCACGACGCTGGTTTAGCCACAGTACGCATGCGCAGTGAGCCGCAACTGGTGACACAGATAACGAGCTCAAAAAACTAGAGATCGCTTAATCTGACAGGTTGTGTCTGATGTTATTAACGGATCATGAATACCAGGCTCTCCAGCAGAACTGAACTGAAAGCTAAACCCGGTCTGTAGTAGTAGTAGTTTATTTTAATTTTAAGGTAATAAAATGGCGGCGAAGGTGTGGCTATTAGGGGAGGCTGGAGGCCACGTTCGTAGTAGTAGTAGTAGTAGTATTCTAATCTATGCCCAACCGACATACCGTTACACCTGCTCGTTCTATGTCGTTTACATTCGATAGCATGATAAAAAATGGTGAATCGATATGAAACTGCATTATTTCCACGGACGCCTATAAGTATATTACACAATTATTCATACAGATAAGTCTCCTATTGGAATCTCAACTACGAGGATATTGTTAGTGCAATATGAAAACATATTGAAACTACAGGTTACAGTTAATTACAAAAGTATAAGATTTTTTAAAAGGCTTGGCTACATATGAAGAATTTAAATGTATTTCATCCAAGTCCCCAGATTAAGTCATTTCTATTAAGAGAACCGATCGTACACATTAAATAAGTAACAGAAGGAGGGTGTATTGTACCGGACCATTACATGTCTGTGTGTGGTGGTTGTATAGGTACTGTGTGGGGTGTAGTATATGTAGTGTAGAGGGTGTAGTATATGTAGTGTAGAAGGTGTAGTATATGTACTGTAGTGTAGGGTATTCTGTACGGGAGGGTGAACTATGTAGGGTGATGTGCGTGTGTGTGATGGAGTGTGAGAGGCGTGAGGTCGACAGGTAAGTGTGGAGGACGAGTAACGGTGACAGCGACCACCGTACCATAACACCACTACCATGCACCCAGGGTGACGCTCACCCCACCGCGTGACGCCTGCACGTGGTGACGCTTACCCCCCATCCCTAAAACGGCCAATAATGATGTTAATCTCTAGAGTACAGTACAGTATAATACGGTACTGCACAATATCCTCGTACTCACAGTAACAGGCAATCGTAAGCCAAGGGTTAAAACATCATATTTAAGGGGTTACGTCATTGTAATCGAAGGGTAACGTCAAGCAGTGAGGTTATCTTAATCCTGTATTGGGGGTGGGGGGGGGGGGTTAGTGCCGCACAGAAGTTTCTAGGATAAGGGGTCAATTGGAAGGTACCAGGTAGTTACAAATGTGATTTTTAATAAGCGAGAACCTTGACGATGAATAATAACAAAACAAAACAAAAATAACATTAAATGATTAAAGCAACTGAACCAATGCTACCTTTAACCGGAACGCACCGTATGATAATCGAATCTAAACCCCCTTAAAAAAACGAAAAGTGAAACTATTTAAGATGAAAATAACTCGAAAAAATAATCAGACAAACAACCCGCTCCTGCTAGTCTAACCGTGCCATTTAAAAAATAATAATAATAAACCTTATCAATCCTTACCTTCTAGGCTAGGTTATGTATTGCCAAAACTAAGTTAGATTTATACATAGCCTAGCCTGAGTAAGGTTTTTATATTATCTTAGGTGTCTGATACTTTATCCCCCTCTACAACAGAATCTCTAGTTAGTGAAAATAACAGTTTGGCGCCCAACAAGTGGACATAAGCATCTGGGACGAAGAACTCGTTAGTTTTGAACAACATAACTCGACCAATCGGGGCCGGATAGATCCCACGGCCGACAGCCCGAGGCCCAACAGAACTAACGTGTGGCCTGGTGAAAATCAACTTGTGGCCAGTGAAAACTTAGAAAATAATACTAAGCGTAAACTTTCTTAAAAATTCATGTCCTACAACCATCATACAGCGAAAGCCTAAACGTGAATACAATGCAGACGATGTAAGCAGATGTTTCCAGCGTGGCTTTAAATGCACCTATAATACTTCAGTGACCATTTTGAATAAGATAAAAGTGTAGCGTCAAAAATATCCTGAAAGTAGCATACAACAAAAGCATCCTATAGGTCAATACAGTCAGTACCCCTCTAAAGATTTATTTCCAGTGGTGTAAAATTCTCATTTCCCACCAGCAGACAATTTCAAGATGAGTAAATAAAGAACGACCATCCTCAGTTCAGCAAAGTGAGGTGTATACAGCTCGTTTGTGAAACCATTCCTAATACAAAATAAGTTTCACACACACACACACTTTCAAAACCAATGAAAGTTACCTTACCAACAACGAGTGGAATAAAACAATGCAAAAGCATCATTTTCCAAGGTTAGTACGCTGTGCTTCCCCCATAACCAGATAATATACGAGAATACACTTAAATGGTTGACGTGAGGTAAAACAAAACTAAAACCACCTATCAATCTTTCATCGAGACTACAGTACATTAACCAGACAGGTTCACTTAAGACCAGTTAGGGGGCATAAATTAACGTACCGAACCTACACTAGATTTGCAAATCCTGGTCCATATCTTCATAAAATACGAGTTGCGTGAATGCGAACCAGAGATTAACACGGTCGGACCAAAAAAGCTATCAACACAATGGTCAACTTGCCTTCATGTTCCAATTTGCTGTTTTTTAAAGCTTAAATATTTGTGATACTACTTCGGTTGACTGTATATAAATTGCACCCAATATGTCGCTGTGAGTAGAGAGCTGTTTGTATATTAGTTTTAACAGAGTTCCAGCGATACTCAGAGCTGACGTGACATTTATAAAGGTGCTCGACTGATAGAGATAAGACGACGAAAGGTAAACTGCTTAAATGAACCGTAATGTTTGAATCTGACCCCGAGTAACTTTTAGATGGATCCTTTAGTGTCCTCGGGATAACACGTGGGCAACACATTTCACGGAACATTCACGTCAAAATACAGGACGCTGCAAATCGACATCCAAAACACGAACATTTTAATTTTGAGACTAAATTATTATTATTATTAATTATTATTACGTTTTCGCCCCCCAGGCCCCGCTGTGAGTCAGTGACCTGTGCCCAGGTGGGCTAAACCCCATAAAAGAAATAAAATAAAATAAAATAACGGAGTACATCTCAGTGTAGTTTGGACACGGGAGTCACGCTCTACAAACGACACGGAATATCTACACATAACCACACACCAGATACAGGTTAAGGAAAAGTGTACGCAAAAATAACAGCTTCATAAATATTAACATCAATATCGGACAACAACTGAGGCGGAAGCAAGACAGTTTCAGCAGCGGCAGTAATAACACCAGAGGCAAAAGCACAAATAGAAGCAGCACCTACACATGGACGACAGTGGCAGGTCTCGGTGAGGTTTCCAGATGGTGGTGGTGTGTGTGTGTGTGTGTGTGTGAATTACCCATGGGAGGCCGTGAGGGTGGAGGCAGCGGCCGGTGGGGAAGGGAGGCCTGGGGGTGGTGCATCGAGCTGGCTTCTACTGTGTCAACAACCTGGGGGCTCCCTCCCTCCAAACACCGCCGCCGGCCCTACCTACCACCACACAAAACAAGCACTACTGACTGACTCATCATCCAACACCCCCAAAACTCAAGCCGTATCTCAAAATGTACACCCACGACGACATTTTCATGGTATCTTAGTCCCTAGTTGATCATTATCCATGGCAGCCTAGTAGAACTCATCACTGTGGAAGCAACTTTCTAACTTCTCTCCACTTACAATCTTTATGCGTGTTTATTTGGCAAAAAATCATTCTAATTATTCTGCTGCTATCCATTTACCTGTCTTCATCAATTTACGTGTGCATGCACAGTCAGGACACAACACAGGGATTCAAGAACCCATCCATGTACTAACAAGGGAGCTTAATAAATTTATGTTAAAATGTACCTGCTTCCAGCACCTATGTACTAATAGAGGGTCTGCGGAATATGTAGGAGGGGTTTACAACTAAGAAGATGGACTAGAAAAACGAAGGACAAAGGATGAGGAGGAGGAAGAGGATACAGCAGCACGACCAGAACTACCAGGAACAGTGACCAATAACATTGAATTTATCCTACAGATGGTCAGGATGGACAAGGATGAGACACCAATAAGGGCAGTGATGGCCCCCAACTGAGTTTTGTTTACTCACATCTGATGGAGGACGTTGGCCATGGCGACGCCATCGGTGAGGTGGTGGATGGCGATCCCCTCGCGCCCGGGGAACGTCTCCAGCTGTCACGAAGGGAGAAAATATTGATCAGGTTAGTACAGGGTTCAGAATGGGTCCAGCGGCCACATGAAGTTGTTTACATCAAACACACAAACAGTTGAAACTAAAATGAAAACATGAATCAAAATTAATGCTTCACATACCTTTGCACCACATTGTCAGAAATAAATAGACGCCGCCAAGTATGTAATACTGTTAGTAATATTCAGATGTAAATTTTCCTAACACTACACCGAAAACAACTTAGCAGCGTTCATACACCTCAAGCTGCCTGCAGAGTGAACACTTGATGCCTGCAGCCCGCAAGCCTGCCACGGTGATCTGCCTGACTGAAGAAACTGTTTACCTCACAAACCTCCATCGGCCGTGTCTCGAGTAAATAATATACCCAGAAATGCTTTAGTTCTCTGGGTAAATTTTAACTTATTTATTCCAAGGAAATCTACAATTTTGTGAGCCAATACTTCGCCATTTTAGGTTAATTTTATTAAATCAGCATCCCTCACTTCTGATATATTATTCTACTTACACAACAGAAGTTGTCACAGGGAGACTGCTAAGCTCTGCTGTAATTGACGCTTTGTAAGTTAAAGAAAAATTTCTCCCAAACAAAAACAATTGTTTTTGTTAATGTCTGTTCGAATTGTAAAGTTTATCACTGTAAGTAGACAAAAAATTACACTGAAATTTTGACAACGACAAAATCCAAATATTCATCACAAAACTAATGATGTTTGTGGAATGATTTACTGTTAAGGTTTACTGCTCTCAGTCAGTGTTTATAAAACTCCTACTTTTCCCAGGTCACGTCTACCAACACACCTTCCAGGCTAAACAGGCATTAGGCATATTGAGTAAGTGAGCCTCGAGTATATACTGTATGTTACGCCGCACTAGTTAGCCCAACTTATTACTCTCACACCTAAAAGACTTTAACCCAGGGGTGGACAAAGTACGGCCCGCGGGCCACATTTGGCCCGCCAAATAATTTCTGTGGCCCGCCACTGCATTTGGCAATCAGAAAAAAAATCTTATTAATTACAGAAAGGAAAATTTTGGAAGTTGGGTGGACATAGCAACAATACACATTAAGTGTGTGGCCCGCGAAGTGTGCCACCATTCACGAAGTGGCCCTCCATCAAAAATAATTATACCTGTAATTTATTTGGCTAAGTCGGACGATTTTACACAGTCAAGAAGACACCCAGCACACAATTGTTAATATAACTGAAGAAATTGTGTAATACTGCACCACATGAATCTTAGCCCTCATCTTTGTTTTATCTTCTGCAGTGGGATTCAGGATATTGTATAAAAAGGCCTAGTGTCTTCGTTCACATCAAACATTACATTACTAGTTATGTAACAACTTGTATCGTGTGTGGTAGCACCTCCGTGAGCCCCTCTCCCTCACACACACTCTCCAGTGTTTCTCACGTGTATATTACGATACTTGTCTGGTGTCTGCGTCCCAGTCATTACAGCCAGAGCTTTCACGCGTTTCTACTGGTCTACATTCCCTCACGAAACAACTGCTTCTCTATTCAACTGAACAACTATACATGTATACGAGTAGAACGTGAAACTTACGTATCGCCAAAGCATCATTGTCCACCTGAACAGTTTATCACTCAGTGCCTAGAAAATGTCAAACAAATCTTGAACTCGTACAAGTGTATGTATGTATGTATGTATGTATGTATGTATGTATGTATATATATATATATATATATATATATATATATATATATATATATATATATATATAACCCGAAACTCCATAAGTGAGCTATCCATTTCGGAAATCGCGAAAGGCTCCGAAAACGTGCACTCATTGCCCAAGTTGATTTAAATGCAACTTTAGGTCTGAACTCGTTTCATGGGTCACTAAAACTTGCCTGAAGTGTGACCACACCATGGCAGCCCAGGTGATCACCTACCACCCAAAACTAACAGTACCTCTGGACAACAATAAGAAGAGTACGGGTGTATAAAAATACGTTCACGAGATTTACTTTCACAAACATTCGTAGAGATTATTCAGGTGAACTGTAGTTGGAAAATCATGCATACTGACTTGTACAACGCGAGTTTAATTGTGCGAAAATGCGTAAATTGAGTTTATATTTGTAAACATATGTATAGTGATAGCATGAGTACAAATATTCTGAGATATGATTATTAGCTGCACTGTAGACACACGGTGCTATGGTGACAGATACATCTCATTATGTATATGAACTTAACTAAAGACTCCTGTACAATTCTATTTTAAAAGTGGACTGCACTTCCCCGAACGCCATTACACTTATGAAATACTGTATATGACTATCAATACAAACATTTAGGGTATTTTACGTAAAATACATGTTCATCTGGAGTTGGTTTTGCCGAGAGTGTATCAAATTTCTACCTCGGTCGAGATTCCGGGGTTTGGGGTTCTTCCGCTTTATATAACCTGACCAACTTGGCTGTTTAATGCATGCAGGCCTGTCTATCCACTCCAAGACTCCAATATCACCATTACTACAGTATAAAGACGGTACATTTCCTGGTTCTATTTTTATCCACAGCGCTTTTCTCGGGTTTATCATAACATCTGTTTTTGTCTTATAAATGAAGTTCTCATCCGAATTGCCTTTCACTTATTTTTTTTCCCGTAATCTCAAAGACGTCGAGCCAGGAGGCAACTTTTATGTGTGGGAGAAGAACGTGGGACGTGTGTTTGGCTGGGTAGCGGGAGGGCGAGTCGTTGCCATGAGTACCGGAGAATATCAAGGTCGAACAATTGGTCGGAGAGGCGCCACCGTGACACCTGCGCAAATATCACTGGAATATCTTATTTTACTTCGTCGGTAGTACGATCTTTATTACGTATTCCTGGGAATTCGCCCCAAGCTGAACCTGGAGGTTCCTCTCTATCCCTATCCCAGTCTACCATTAAGCTACCGTGGATCATGTGTTGAACTAAGCACTGAATATTTTAAGGGAACTGTTGACCTGACGACAACGTGAACAGCTTGGTCGATGGATGACCAGGCTTTAAGAGCAGGGACCTCCCCGCAAGACAAGACACAAACACATAGCTCTCGATAGTGAAATGAATCGTAGCTTGTCAGCATATTACCTGATTTGATATTAGTCAAATTACTGGATGGTCACCAAAAAGTGTGTGTGTGTATTCAGAGGATTCATTCTACCCCCGTGTAATGGCTCAGTGTGACAGCCTCAGCAACCACACTTATTGCTTGCTGCCCGAAAACTACCATAACACCATTGTCCATGACGATGCATTGTGAATTAAAAGTGGTCTTCTATTTTAACAAGTAGCTACTATAACAGTCCCTGGATGATTGCATGAATCACCTGCAGATTAGCCCCAAGCTCATGTTAGCGGTATACTGGCTAAACAGTCATAAACTGCTGTCCAAAACTACGTCATTATTGTTTGGAATACAATTTTGCTTCCACAATACAGTGAATAGATTTAATCCAACAATTAATAATTGTCCAAGAACATAACCAATAGACAAGTTACCAAAATAATCACTAGGATACTTTTTACAGAGCATTTGGGATATGCAGGAGCTCCTACAGTCATTATCAATTCCGAAGTCAGAACTATGATAAAATCTTACTTTTAACATTTGTGTATTTACAGTACAATACAGTATTCAGAATACTGACAGACCAACCTTCCTTCCTTCCTTCCTTTTCATAAAAACATATTTAATGAAACCGAAACAACCTAAGTTCACAAACAATAATAATATATTGTACAATACTTCCATCAAAGGAATGATAGGTTAGGTATGTTTTGTTGGTTATTTTATTTACTATAAATTATAAAACTTGTACAGTATAATAATATTAATAATAACAGTCGTAATACTGTATATGCTGTGTAGTATGGAAATGACAAGGATGACAGTCTTGCTGCGACTGCTGTTGGGAAGCCTCCGCTGCCATATTTGTGTGTGTAGTATCACTAAACTAATACTGTACTGCACTAATAACATTACAAACAACAGTAAATCCTATTACTATGACTGTAATTATCCTTTTAGGGAATATTATCATTTTCAATGTAAGAAATAAAAGGTTTTCATCATCAACATGTACACAAAATATTTTTGAAGTTGCTGCTGTTGTTGTTTCTTGGTGAGTAAGAAACGGATTAGTGTTATTATTTACTGTATGTCTATGAAACCTTCGGATGATACCTACCGCTCATGTAAACAATGTTGATGGCATTCTCGTGCAAGGGCAACATTTTTATTTATGACCAAAACTAGGTACAAAACCTAAACATAAAAGTGCTTTTCCACTGCCTGATTTTAATGATTTACATGTACTTTATTTGTGAGGATAAAGATAAGATTCTCCTATAGCTATTTTGTTTATATACAGTAGCTGGTTAACCTGGACCATTGTTCTTAAATTCTGCTTTATATTCAAGTAATACCAGTAAATGTTCTATATTGAAAATCTTGGAACTGATTATGTGAAGATTAGGCATCCCAACTTAATTCACCTGATGATTAAACAACCTAATGCTACCTGGAGGGTTCAGTTACCATTAACCCTGTCACTACAGAGACGCAACTTTTAATATTTTATTTGGCTAACGCCAAACGATTTTATTCAGCTCAGAGAGGACCCAGTACACAAGTGGTTAAAGTATTTAATTATCAGATGAAATAGGCTGGGGATACCTAATCTTCTTTTGGTCCTTATTAACAAATCAAAATTGAAAACTGGTTAATACAGTACTACCATAATGTATTTGATGGTAAAGGTTAAGTTTAGTTGCTCGTCCTAATCATCTCTCTTGCAACAAACCAATTTACATTTACCCCAACATTTCTCTAGATTAGATGATATTTGTTAGCTACTTCCATTATTTAATATATACTCCAGTAAAGAAATAAAGAGCTCAGAGCTTCTGAGTCTTTGGAGAATTGACAAAAATTATTATGGTCATACAGTACAGTACTGGATTTTATCAGGAACAAAGCAATGAGTAAAACCAGTCTCACTCAGTAGTTTGTCAGCTATAATCAGCCTTAGTTCAGTGATTTTTGTCAATCTACCTGGCCTACAGGAGATTCCAGGACCTACTTGCTGCATCATACAACTAGATTCAGTAATGACACTAATAAACCAAATCTTGCTGTGGATTCTACATGGAAGATAATCTTAGCATAGATTTCATTGTTGTTCATTAATTAGGACATGCATTTTAACTTATACTTTACAATTTTGACTATTCAACTGAACATTGGGAGTAGAAGTGAGGAACTGTTCTGTAACTGAGATAATTGACTATAAAGTTTCCACAATTTTGGCTACAACAGACTTAAATTAACCAATACATGTACAGGGCTGGTGAGCTACCCTGCCAAACAGTCTCTCCCAGGTGGTAATCCACAACACTGGTGATTTAGAGCGTGTATCTACAAGTCACTGAATGAAAATTATCCTAAATTTGAAAAAAAAATCTTCAACCAAATATGCCTGTATCAAAAACTCACTACACATTCTAAATCAGAAAAAATATACTGGAATCGTCTTTGAGATGGACTTGTCTTTGCAAGAGCCAAGTTCGAACCAGTTGACCTCTCCAGTCTTAAAAGGTGGGTGACTGAAATTACATCGATAAACATGCAAAGAGGGTCGAATGCATCCTGACCAACAAGAATAATTGCTGTTCCTTGTGACATTCTCGTGCATTGGGTTATGAAAGAACCAGTTTGAAACTCAATGCCACCTACACCTTTACTCACTCCAGATGCAATTGCTTTTATGATTTTTTTCACATTTAAGAATTTATGCATATTTTTCACGTGTATGTAAAAATTTACTAAAGCTACAGAAAACATATATTAGTGCTTAAAATAAGGTTCCCACACACCCATCTTTAACAGCTTAAAACCATTAGTTAAGACATCCATCACCTAAAGTGAGTAATACTAAGCTTAAGTGACCTGTGGGCCTCGTATCTGTTAAAATAAAACCGTGTTTAACAAAAACAAAAAAGAACACGTAACTTGACTGGCCAGAGAGCACCATTGTTTACAAATTGCAGCTTGGCATTCTTCATAACCAGTCACTGCAATTCCACACAACAAAAATTTATTTAATGCAGATATATACAGCGTGAGACACTTACCCATTTTAACAGGCTATCACAGAGTGAATTGTTCTCCATAACTATATTTTTTCACTTAGAGTTCACATATCAATACGCACTACATAACACACACCCTCACTCGCACTCGTTACTATCCGGACTGGCGGCGGTGGCCACGGCTACCGTTAACCCGTACCTCGCCTCCCGTGTGTGCTGATTGGTTAACTTCCCGCGCTGTGATTGGTTACCGGTGACGTCACAAAACCATTTTCTCGTTGATGATACAGAAAACGTGATGCTATAATAGGTAAACTAATGAAAAAATACAATTTACTTTAGTATTTGTTTCTATGCAGTTTAAGATAGAAATGATTAATGTTTGTATCTTAAGTGAGAAACTGTTACAAAACAACATTGATGTATATAAAATATTCGAAGAAAAATGTAATTAATACCAAGAATGGCCATGTGTAGCATTTATTTATAAAAAAAAAAATATATATATATAAAGTACACATGAATGCAAGCATTTTATGCAGGCTTTGCCAAAGGTTTTTGATAGATCGCTTCTACCCCACACAACCAGTCTTGGCGAAATTTGTCACAGCCACCAGCTCCTCGTTCACCTCCATCAGGGCTCATGTTAAAAATATACCAAAGGCAATATCAAATTTTACTATATAATTTTAAAATAAATAAATCAAACTAAACTTAATTGTAATTTTATAAATAAAATTAATATAGTTTCAGTTACGTCAAGAGAGGGTTAATTGATTTTTCCCACATCCAAAATAGTTTCCAACTATTGTTTCTGGTAACTTTTAACATCAGCTGAGCTCCAAAAAATTCTCTAGATTCTCCCTAATTCCAGTATGTTAATTTGGGCAACTTAAAATGTTACGCTTATTTTAGAGAATTTTTTGAAAATTAGCATTCTTGATAATGCCCAAATTGAAACTTATGTATATATGATGATAAGGAAGGACCACCTGAAGATTAGACACCAAACGTTTCGGTCGGGTAGGTTAGGTTAGGTTAGGTTAGGTTAGGGTGGTAAATCTTAAAATTTCCCTAGAACTATAAACGAATTAAGAAACTAATCGAGGTGTATATTAATATTTCTTAATGATATTGTAGACCACAACCAGTACATTTGGATGCTGTTGGTCTGTTATAGTTACTTACCCAAAAAGAATAATTTCCTACACATTTGAAATATTTTGTTATATAATTAACGATGTATCATTTAGTTGTCACTAGCACGGAAGCGATAATAAGCTAATTTTCTTATTGCTATTAAAACAACGAACAATTTACGATGGTCTTTTGTTTAGAAGATGAGAGTTACATAAACATTAGATCTTTGTTTACATGGCAGTGATGGAGGACTCGGTGACACAACTCTAAAGCTCGGGGATTATTTATGGTACACCAGGTTTTCAGTAATAGACTACATCTTAATATATATAATAGTTTTTATTTGGTTATAATGTATGATTGGTAAAATTTTAATATCACGATAATTATGTAACGCAATATAAGGAATTATCAGTCCCGTCAGGAGGTATCAGGTCTTCGTCAGGAGGGTACTCACCATAGAGGTACCCCAGGTGTTCCTCATCCCTGTGTAGTGCTGAGTGTGCAGGTACAGGTTTTTATGTTACTGTACTCATTTAATGTTGTTTATTTTTGTGTTTCAATACGAATGCCGTGACCAGTTAAATGTCAATAAGTGGATTTTTGTTAAGTTTGTTCATTTTTAACAAACTGACAAACACTTTCATTTACTGGCAAATATTCTCCAATTGCAGTTATTGATGACTGATTCGCCGGCGATTTAACATAGTAAACGATTATAAAAAAACGCCTAAATTTCACTGTTTAATAGAGAACACAGTCCCAGTTTGTGCAAATGCTTTTTTTTAATCCAACTTAACCTTAACTAAACCTAACCTAACCTTAACATAAAACCATTTTATAGAGGCCACTGTTGTAGTTTGTGCAAATGTGAGAGCAGCCACCTGTATCAAACGGTTCATAAGCCTACACTGAGTATAGGCCTTGATCTGGTCCGGGTCGCAGAGTTTTGAAGTACAGTACATCAATATGATTGGCTGTTTACATCCTGGGATGAGACGTCATGGCCGCATTACCGCCGAGAAGACAAAATGATGTGCGCCTAATTATCTACCAAACAAAGCATATGCACAAGAAATGGTTATCATATCAGTCCTCACCGATGAAAATAGAATAAGAAAATAAACACCAAAGCAAATAGCTTGTCGGAGAGTCAGACGTCAATATTAACCAAAGATAAGTTAGTGACCATAATAGGAATTTAATTTCCAAGATAGGGGTGTCATATGCTTTTTATGGTGATTTAAAATATTGACCTTTATTTTTGTTACTGATTTATATTTATGGAGATACAACAATGATTTGCAAAAAGTGGGCAGGTCTTTGAAAGATGAGGGAAAATGGGATTAATAAAAAAACAATAGCAAGCAAACCTTTGAGAACTTGATATAACCTTTCCTAATCTACGGAATCTTAATACAGTACTACAAAGACTTGCCTTATTTTACCAGTGGAGGAGCATTAAGTGATTCTTTCTTCCTGTTTTTGCATAATTTTGGTGTTTTCGCCACGAGGAAGCCTCAGTGCAAATGAAAACTTTTAGGTGAAAATTTTCCATGTATGCAAATCTCTCAAGAGACAAGAATTGTCCTCTGATTGGTCAAAGCTAATTGTGTGAAGCTCAGGTGAAAGAGGTTTGAATATGTTACCCCAGCAGTTGAGTGGATACAGCACTCGCCTCCTGTTCCCGGGTGCTTCCACTTCACCCAGTAAATGTGTACTCGAGTTTACAACTTGGGGAAGTAAAGGCGGTCGAGTGCAGTACCAGTCATGTTGCCCCCTTGTGTACCACAGGCATAGTATACAGTGTGCTGTATCTACACTGTCCCTAATGGGTAGTTATACCTATGGGACCTACTGTATACTGAAGGAAGGAGACAAAACATTAAGTGACCTGTAGCTGACTGGAGAAAGACTATGGAAAGAGCATCAGTAAAATGCCAAACTATTATCAGAGGTGACCAGTAATGATGTAAACGTACTTTTTTACCGAGTTCAGATGACTTTTATGTGTAAATAAGTTACATGCAAGAATCTTTTCTTCTTGATAATTTTACATTAGTTGAATTCCAGAAAATTATCATTGCTCTTACGTCATTACTTATTTTTTGGACCTATCATTACGTTGTCAATTTATTCTGGGTGCCTCGACAGTGTATGTGATTCTTTCCCAGTCAGCCACTACTTGGTGAGGGTACAACATGCTTCCACCCAATTAAAACTAAACATTGAGTGCACATTGTGTTTCCAGCCAGTCAAAGCAATACATCTGTTCTTGCCTCATATTATACTACATATCTGTTTCATTTGTGTGTGTGTGTGTGCAGCCTCAGTGTAAAAAGATGTACAGTACAGTTCAGTACAGTATTTATATTGTGATTTGCAGCATCATGGCCAAAACAAAAACAATTCCCCATGGTCATACTGTACAGCATTTGAATAAGATGTTCACATACAAAGCACTTAATCCCTTGTGTATCGGCTCCCCTCTGAATTGAATAAAATCATCTGGCAAATTAAATATTAAAGTGGAATCACCGTAGTGAAAGGGTTAAGCGAACATCTATTAAAGTACTGTAAAGTGGATTTTGTGCATTCCCAAATTAATAGAAATGGCACCTTACCTCGTCTCTCCTTCATACTTGAGGAAACACATTATTAATTTATAATATTCTATAGGCAAATAATGCAGTGAGCATAGCTTTTTATTATTACTGCAGTATTAGGATATTTTCCTGCAGGCTATGGACAGTGGGCAGTATTAAGAGTACCTTAATATGTCTATTGGTGCGTGGCATTCAAGTGAATACGGCATTCACCTCCTGTTTCAGGGGTTGGTACTGTAGTTTGATTCCCAGTTCACCGAGCTGTAAATGGGTACCTAAGTTTCAACTTGGGGAAGTAATGCGGTCGATTGCAGTACTGGCCATGCTGCCTCCTTGTGTACCAAAGGCTTGGTACTATACAGTGTGCTACATCCACACTGCCTCTAATGGGCAGTCATGCCTATGGGACCAACCCACTTTCACACTCACTATGTCCTATTTTTATTTATTTTTTGCAATGGTACTTTTACTCTGAATATTTTTCAAATTTGTTACTTTTACTAGTAACATGAAGAAAGAGTACAGTACTGTACTCATACTTTTACTTCACAGTGTTTTTCTCAGAATAACAGCACTTTTATTCAAGTAACTTTTTCCAGTACTTCGTCCACCGCTCCATAATCATATTGCATCAAAATGGATTGAGCATAGAAACGATTGCCCATAAACTAGGACTTCACAGAACATCAGTGAGGAGCTGGATTGAAAGGTTTCTTTCAACTAGTGCTGCCCCCACTACACAACTATCCATCAGGAATCAATAAGAGGCACACCCTTCACCAACTCTACTGTACAGAGAGAACAACTTGGGTTCATTGCTTGTACAGTAATCAAAATTAGAAACATGCTAAGCCAGGCAAGTTTATTTACTCGCATTTCTGCCAAAAAACCAGCTTTAACTGATAGCCTTAAGGAACAACGTAAGGAGTTTGCATTAGAGTATGCAGAGAAAGATGAAGACTTTTGGCAGAAAGTTGTGTTTTGTGATGAGAAGATATTTTCATTCTACAATAGGGGAATGTTGCACATCTGGCGTAAAAATAATATAAGGTAAATCTCCCTCATTTGTGTATTAATGACCCTGAATATACACAACACTTTACTGATACAGTACATTTTGCTGATATTTTTTATGAAAAATTATAAGGATTGCTTAAAATGGGTTCTGCTTTTTCTGATAATTTCAACTAAGCAGTTTGAACATTATCATTCAGTCTTGAAACCTTAAAAAAAATAAATAAATAAATAAAAAAGTAAAAATAAAATACGGAGATAATTTGTTAATATTCATAATTTTTCAGACATTCCGTGGAGAATAACTCTGAGTGGAGACGTAGTGGATGTATCAACGTGAGTATGTGGGGCTGGTTCTCTGCCAGTTGCTTGGGTGAGCTTGTGGAGGTGGAGAACCATCTCAGTGGTGATCAGTATGTAGAGATTCTTGAAGAGGAAATGCTACCATCTGTCCGAGCCATGCTGATCCCAGAACCATTGCCCTTTTATTTAGTCCAGGATAGCAGCCCAGATCTTACTTCATCCAGTGTTGTTAAGCAGTGGTTTGACAAACACCCTGAGATAACCTTGATTAACTGGCCGTCAAAGTCTCCTGACTTGAATCCTATTGAAAATTTATGGGCAATTATGGTAAAGCAATGGGAGGGTGATCAAGTCACATCCCGTGAGAACCTGGGTGTTCTTGCAAAGAGCAATTGGGAGAGTCTTAGAAGCTATCCTGACATTTTTCAACGACTAGCTGCTTCTATGCCCTGGCGATTAAATGAGACCATTGGTGCAGGTGGTGATCACTTTTAATACTGAGTACTGCTGTACTGTACAGTATAAATCTTTACTTTTATTATCCCAAATTAAACGGATGAATTAACATAAAGATTCCAGCTGTGTACTGTACTGTTTTATGTAATATACCAACAATTTTAAGTGTTTTGATAGAAAACCGTGATTATTAGTTTGGTATTTTAACATTTGTAAAATATTTCAGTGTGTACAAAAATAAATGCAGTACAGTATACAGTATTAACTTTACTGAAATGAATCATGAAAGCATGTTAGAGGTAGACCAGTTTGGAAGATGATAAGTTGTATTTGAAAAGAAATACAGGTAATGAGATTATTAAAATTTGAGCCTTGATACAAGATAATCTGGATCAGTGTAATTAGGATAGATATTAATTATATAAAGAAAGAAGTCATAATTAATTGAATCAAGACATATTGCAGTATAATTATGTGAGAGGAAGTTGACAAGACAAATAAGATTAATAATAATATTTTGAAATCTCAAATAGGGCAATACAGTAATTTCATTTTGATTGCCATTAATATAAAAACTTCTTTATCATGAATCTACTGATCTGAGGAACTGATAACAAGGCTGCTGTTAATAGTTGACCAGCCAAACCACAGGGCTACCAATACTGAACCATCACAATCTTCATTTTTTTGTACCATTTGCTTCAAGTTATCACTGTTGTTATTACTGTATTTATTAATAATACTGTAGTAGTATTATTACATATGAAGACCATTATTTCTATTATAACTGTATTACAGTAGTACAGTACAGTGAAACCTTGCTAATTCAGAAATAATTGAGGGAAAGGTGATCTGGATTGGCAAAATATATGAATTATTGCTAAATCCAAAGCACAAAGGCCTACCACATAGAAATAGATGGCCGAGAAACAAATGTAATGAAAAACACAATAAGAACCTGTAAAACACAAATAAAGGTGATTATTTATATAAATACTGTAAGTGCTTAATGTTAATTCCAAAGGGCTCTTTGCTCCTGAAGGTTGTGTAGGGGTGATGAGACTGTTGTATTTACACTCGTATACAGTACAGTACAGTATTACAATATGCACTGTCCTACTAAATCACTTATATACAGAAATGTATTAATTTTATGTCACTATCTCAAAGATCTTCACTTAAACATTTATTGTTCTTCATCAGATTGTAAAATCTGTTGAAGATCAGGAGGTGTAGTAATTGCACTGAGATCAGATGCATCACTAAGACTTGAACCAGAATGGAAAAAAGTGGAAGGGCCACATCCAGTTTATCTGCATCCAAATTAGCGAGGTTTCATTGTATTATTATTAATATACTGTACTGTAATTATATTTTACAATGAAGTCATGATAATTCGCAGGTTAGGTACCGGGAAACCATGAATTTGAAATTGTGAATTATAGTTTAATTGATTTGCCGTATTTTCTCGAGTATAGTTCGATTTTTAAGATCAAATTTTATAGAAAAAGTAGGGGGTTGGACTATATACATTACACATATATTTGATAAGTTAAAATTCATGCATTTCCATGGGTCACTTATGGTGAATGATAGCTACCTGGTACAGTACCGCTACATGCTCACAGTAGGCTAACCTTACCAGTAAGCTCCTTTATCCTGGACTTACCTACTGAACCCCTAGTATTTTTCTAAAGCTCAGGTCAAATTATACATCCCGAGGTAAAGTAAAGTATAAGAAAATCCTTTGTATTAGGGGTCAGATTATACAGAAGTGTATATGGTAAATGGAAATAATAAGTTCGATTCCCGAGGCCAAAAAATATGAATAAACTGTTGAATGTTACCAAAAAACTTTCACTACTACTGCTGTAAACATACTATTACTGATTGGAGACCAAGCGTAAACCTAAGCAAAGGACCCTCCCGGAAATAAGCACCTGGCAGCTTTGTCGGCTATTCTTGGTCTAGTTGCCTTACTGTTTATCGTTGTCGTTTATGTGCACTGTATCAGCACACGGGAAACTGTATACAAACTGTACTCCCACGGCCTACGTGCACCGTATACCTACATAGTCTATATTCATGCTGAACTGTATAACCGCATACTTTATACATGATTATCAAATTTGTAAACCTGTATTACAATATTTCTGAATAAACATTATTATAATTATTATTATTATTATTAAACACTGAATGTCATGCATAATACATAAAAAATATTACATAAATAGCTCCTTCCCTTCTCATAATCGTCTGGGTGACACCAATACATCAATACTGAAACAGGTGTGAGCTTAGGCTGTTGGGTGTTGTTTGTATACCTATAACTTTGTACTTGTAATACAGTACTGTCTAGAAGTCCAAAGGCACTCTGGTAGAAATGTAACTTATGAAGTTAATTCAATGACCCAACAGCGATCTAGTAGGTAGTCTATGCTACTAAATCAATGTATCTTTTACGCTCTTGTGCTTTAATCTGTTCCCTTCAGGTAAATTTGAAAGGGAAAATCAACTCGTTGATATAAAACTATCTCTTATTGGTAACTTGAGCAGGAGGCTAGGAGAGGTGTGTTGCTGAGGTGGATGGACCTGAAAGAGTGAGCTATCTACAATATGATTAACCGTGAGGGTGTGTGTGTGTGTGTGTTTGTAGACCCAAGAATGTGGCTTGATGTTGACTGTGTCACTATGACAATAAGACCTGCCACTTGACATAAGTGTATGTTAATAGACTTAACAAAATGTTTCAATCGGCTCCACTATGTGTCGAAATGCCTTGCAACTATCCATCTTGGTAGGCATGCAATATGTTTATACCAGTAATGTAGATACATTAACAAAAATCTAAACTAATAGGGCTGGCTGGCTGGTCAGCTGTTTGCACTATATAAACATAGCACTAGGAATGTAATATGACACAATTCATCTGAGGTTGAGTTTGTGATTTTTTCAGAAAAATTTATTATTTTACGAAATGTTTAATGGTGAAATTACATACTGTCGCTTTAAAGAGGTGATGGAGTCTCCAGGAGTGGAGAGGGGAATTTTCCTCAATCCAACTACCATACACTCCTATACTTCCCACTCTCCATTTTTCTTATTTTGTAGTTTTATATTACAGTACTGTATACAGTACAGTATTTTCTATACTGTATGTCTAAATCACATTAGAGAATTGGAATGATATTTACACAACTTTAATGGTTAAATTATGTAAATACTGTACAGTACTGTAAACATTTTGCGGCAGCTGCTGCTTGGCCGCGTATTATGAATATTTGACCGAAAACTAAAAAAAAGAGAGATGGCATTGTTAGACAGCATAGGTAACCGTACATCCCAAAATTTTGGTTGAAAAAAAAAAACAATACCATAACCTTAGTCACAGGTGGGGAAAGGTTGAAAATATCCCTGCCCAGCTCCGGGAATTACTTTTGGTGTTCATTTTAAATAGTATTTAGTTACCCAAAGTAGCTGGTTTTTGGAGCATTCCGGATACTGGGATACCTGTACAGAATGTCTGGTCAACTTATTGTTGCTTCTAGTTTTCAGGGATCTCATGAAAATTTGGAGTCCCTGTTCATTTCACATGTTGACTAAACATATGAGTGTTTTATCATAAGGTGTAATAAGTAGAGGTTTCTAATGCTGATGTGATCCTTTTTTTTTTTTTTGCCGAGTGAAATTACCAAACCAAAACAATCATGGGATGCTGTGAGCTGTTTGCACTGCCAAGTTCATAGTATGTCCTTTGTAGGAGCACAATAATGTGTAGATCCATGAATATCAAAATTGGGGTTCCAAGAAATTGTGAGTGGGAGAACATGGTGAGGACAGCAATCCCACCCAGTTAGGGGGATTTGGAGGGAGGCGCTATAAGCCCCCCCCAGAATTTTTTGGGGAAATCTGATCAATAACATGGGCATTTTGAAGTGCCATGTACACTTGATATTAGGAGATATTGTGAGGCCAATAGTAATTACTGTCTACTACGTATACAAAAATGCCTGAGTATAATACTGCATTAAAGAAAAAGTATTGTAATTTTCTGATGAAAAGGGGGGTTCTGGACCCTCAGAACCCCCCTGGATTCGCCCCTGAGTACTGGTAACATTGAATGAGTGCATGGAAAGGCAGGCATCAATGAATATTCGCAATTTGACAGCCAATCATATTTTTTGAAATGGTCTTTAAACACCATGTAAACTTGACACAAGGTTGTTTAAATTTAAAAAACGAAAATGTCCTTTGGACTGAAGTGGTAAAATGCTATACAGTAAGTCCTCGCTTAACATCGTGGTTCCGTTCCTGAAAACCGCAACTTTAACGGAATCAATTTTCCCTATTAAGAAATAGATAAAATACGGGAGTTACGTTCCTGAGCCTTCCTTTGCCCCATGAAATACATTACATATACTTTGATCATGCGCACCTACAGTAATTTACCTGCATATATATATATATATATATATATATATATATATATATATATATATATATATATATATATATATATATATATATATATATATATATATATATATATATATATATATATATATATATATATATATATATATATATATATATAAATATGTACAGTACTCACTGATGGAGCGAGTGTGTGGTGGGTAGTGGAGCGGAGGAGGAGGGTGGCGAGTCACTGAGACCCGGCGGGTGGCTCCTCCTGGTTTAAAACTTCCATTTTCGTAGCAAGACTAATGGTCTTATGTTGCTTCTTCACAACACTACCATCAGTAGCACTTGATGGGTGCTTGGAAGCCATTTCAAATTATTAGAGTACAGTAAGAGCAAAAACACTTAAACACGCACAAACGCTGTGAAAGCCTAACAAAGACTGGCTTGGTGTCGCTTGGGGACGCTGTGACGTTCCGTGAGAGGTAGCGTGGCAAGACAAGAGAGGGTGATGTGCCGTAAAGAGCAGTCCGTGACAATGCTATAATTGACGTTATATTGAGTCGTCGGGACGTTAACCGAATTATTGGTATCTAAAGAGTAGCGAAGTTATAACAAAACAACGTTAAATGAGGACTTACTATTTATAGCACCGGTATATGATTGAACACTTGTCAATTTGAATTCTGAGGTACTTTTTACTTAAATTACAGAGTTGAGCCAGTAAAGCTTCAGTATGACGGAGAGAGTGGTTGTGCTGCTGGACATGGACTGCTTCTATGTGCAGGTAGAAGAGCGGGACCATCCACACATCAAGGGAGTTCCTGCTGCTGTGGTCCAGTACAACACTTGGAAAGGCGGAGGGTAATGTTGGCCTCATTCTACCACAGCAGCTGCTAGATTGTTTTCAGTTTCTCATTCTGTATCATATAGGACAGTAATTATAGATCAGCACTGTTATTGTGACTTCTCTAAATTTCACTTTCACCGCTCCTACTTTTTCTTTGAGGTTTCTGTAGCCCTTGATCCATTCAACGCAAATGTTGGAGAGAAGCTGTGACAACTAGATGGGGAGTACAGTACAGTATACAGTACAGGGTGTTTAGTGAAACAATATTTGTGGAATGATTTAATTTTTGGTCTGTTATTTTATTATTCATGTCTTGATTAGGCAATAGAGAGAATGTGATATTTGAGACGATTCTGAGAAAAATGAAGACAATTTGGTGCTGATAAATGAAGGTTTATAGCCACAGACAGGCAGTAGCTTAAACTACTTATCAGACAGCAAGATCTTTTCGAGTTGGACTACTATATGGGCCTCGAGGCTCTCTGGCTTATTTGTTCCCTCCCCACCTGGGTGCTTTCAGACATTACTTTACCAAAAAATCTTTCCCCAAAACAATATTAAAGTTAACAGTATACATTTACACTGTACTTGATTTTATTGTAGCAAATTAATTTTGTGGTGGAAAGGGGGTCTACTTACAGTACTGTACATACAGGTACAGGTGCTTCTCTACTTAAGAACGTTCAACTTTCAAACTTTCAGAGATACAAACATCATCACTGAGGGGGGTTACCTGCCAGAACAGGTGTTTAATGTGGATGAGACTGGATTATTTTGAAGAAAATTCCAGATAGAACAAATATTACCTAAGGGGAGAAGAGTGAGCCATGTTTTAAGGCTGTATTAAAGGGCATAGCTGTACTAAATATCCATAATCTTCATTTTTTACAATACATTTGGTATCTACAAGAGTAAAGTTGGGCTTACAAACAAGCCTCAGGAACGTAACTCATTCGTAAGTAGAGGAGCACCTGTATATTGTTGCTTATATTTAATTATACTTTATATTTAGTCTGCACTTAAATCTAGTTGATATAAAAAGTACTCCACTTCAGCCCAAACTCCTCATAGATAATGTTCATGGAGACCCCAGCATCAATTCTATCTCATATTTTCAGTTTCTCTTTAACTGGTAGAGTTCTGAGCACTATTACTTTTCTCCCAGTGGTGTTCTTTTGCCTTTCTTGCTTTAGAGGCCATATTAATACACAAGGGAAGCTCTAAATACGAACACATCAAAGAATAAACGACAGAGCAGTGATCGCGACAACAAACACACAGGAACTGACATGACTTCCCCTAAGCCAGAGTTCGTCCAGCTTATGGGGATTTCCAACTTAAAAAAGTCCGACTTAGAGGGGTCTTACATTTTGACTTTAGCTGCTGGGTCTTAATCCAAATGTGGCCCATGAAAAAATATCATTACTCCTTTTATATTTCTTTCTTGCTTCTACCTGCTATTTACATTGATAATTTCTGTTTCAGCATTATAGCAGTGAATTATGAGGCCCGTGGTTTTGGTGTGAAGCGAGGGATGCGCGGTGACGAGGCTCGAGCCAAATGTCCTAACATCCAGTTGGTACAAGTTCCTGTAAGCCGTGGCAAAGCTGATCTTACTAAGTAAGTGTTACTTTTACTCTTGTGGATCATATATTTACTGAACTTTTATCACAGGTTTCAGTTGCTCATGAGGATACAGAAGGTAGAGAAGGATATGGAAGGTACAGAAGGATGTGGCAGGTAAAGGGATATGGGAGGTACAGAGAAATGTGTGAGGTACTGAAGGATGTGGGAGGTATAGAGGGATATGGGAGGTACAGAAGGATGTGGCAGGTAGAGGGATGTGGCAGGTACAGAGAGAGAGATGCATTAGTATGCCATTGTGTATGAATGGGTGATGTGCCTGTCTCAAAATTGTTCCAGTGTCTGATGATTTTGTCCATTGTTATAGACCATTGTTTTCTATTGAGCCAATATGAGGAAAGTCATTTTGGAGAGATTTTCTATCATTTCCTATTGATGTTCAGATGTCTGCACTTATACCTAGTACTGTACAGTGGTTGGTGCATTTTGTAAGACTTGCCAACTCTGTGTTTGTTTACATCACATTAAAACTCTTGGAAGAGCCCTCGCAATAGTAGCCACACTAAGGACGCTAGATAAACATTCCACAGAGTCGCCAGATCTCACAAAATGTGCCAGCCACTGTGCTTGGTACCTAAGTTTATGTATGGGTGAGAAGGAAGGGTCATTTTAGTTTGGGTGTTTGAATTATTTAAACTATTTAATAAATAAACCCATCTTCTGTATTTCTTCAGGTACCGCAATGCAGGGAAGGAAGTGATCAATGTGCTGTGTGATTTCAGTGACTGCATAGAGAGAGCGAGCATAGATGAGGCATACATAGATTTCACTAATGTCATTGAACAAAAATTGAAGGAGTTTGATGGCAACAAAATTAGCCCAGAAAATTTAATGTCCACCTGGGTAGTTGGTTATGACAAAACTGAAGAGGAAGATAAACAAAGTAAGCTTCCATATATACAAAAATAAATATATAAATACAGTATATCTTAAATCTATTTCTTTGCCCACTGAATGGCTTCTTAAATTCATCTGCATTTTACACTTATTGGAAGGTCTGGATTCGCAAAAAAGAGTATGATACTGTACTGTGCCAGAGAGATATGTCAAAGATTGCTAAAGTAATCAATTCAGAATTTCACATACAGTATTATACAGTATTTAGTGTGTGCATATGCCTCACTAATGTCCTTAATTTCTCTTTTTGCACTCCAAAATCTATGTAGAATCAGACCCTCTTTATTTCTCAAAGACATTCAAAAGTAGTTAGCTGATTGATTTTTAATGTTTAATTATTTGTAATGTGGTACTGTACAGTATGTTTAGAATGATTGAGAGGGCTGATGGTGTTACAGTTATTGTGGAGTGGGTGAAGCATCACACACACACTAAGATGGTAAGGACAAGTCAAAAGGATGCCAGAATACAGTAAAGAAGTAGGTTGTGTAGAGGGAGACGGCCTATGTTGTTGGGCGGAAAGGTGGAGCAAGACATGAAGATGGGAATGGAGATGAGGATAAAGGGAAGACTGAGAGAGGGGGAGCATCCTAGGGTAGTGAGGTACTGTAGAAAAAATTAGTGCAGAATTGTGAATCGACAAAATTATTGACTGTATAATGTATCTGTTTGAATAGGTCATTGTCTATGGGCTGGCATTATTGTAGAATAAATGACCTAATGATTTTTGTTGTTGACCATGTGTTCTGCAGAACTAACTATGCTCAAAATATTTTTCATAAAATATATTTACTATACAAGTATTTAAAAAAAAAAATTATTTATGAATAATTGTACTTGTAGTGGTGCGTCAGCAAGAGCTACAAAATTGGTTGGCATCACTAAATGAAGGTGAAGACGGTTCATTTCCCTTAACTCCAGCTCACCCACACTGGGACAATTTTAGGCTGACTTGTGCTGCAGTTCTTTGTGAAGAAATGAGAAGAGCAGTTCTTGAACGTACCAGTTTTAAATGTTCAGCAGGAATAGCTCATAACAAGGTTTGTGCATATTTCATTTAGTCTATACTGTACAGTAGCTAAAACAACTATCTGTGCATACTTTGTGGGAAACAAAATGAGACCGTGGACGATAAATTTTGGTACTGTATATGAAGGCTGTCACTAGTCACACGTAAAATTTCGGAGCATATCAACTCCCACCTGCACAGACAGTTGTTTTAGCTATTGTACATGATGCTAATTTTCACACTTGAGTTAACACAATTTACACATATGCATGACACAAGATGCTAATAAGAACATACCCCTCCTCCCTCTCATCTTCTAGTGAACAAGGACCTACTTAGTTGCAGGTAATTTTTATGCAAACTTCCCTTGTGATGTAATTGGTACTTGGTGGGGTTCAATATTTGAAGATACTGAGCTGTGGCATTCATTTTACTCTGTTAATGAACTTAGGAAATTACAATTAATATTGGTATGATGCTTATATTCTGATGAAAAGGAAAAAAAGAAGAAAAAATAGCAATAAAATGAGTTCACTATCTGGTGTACTTGTTGGATTGGCATTATAGTCTAGCACACCCATCACTACTTCATGGATGTCCAAATCCTACCTGTCAAGTACATCCTTTACCCTATCATTCTGTGTCCTCGGTCCTCCCGTTTCTCTTAACATTACTTGTGAATTATACTTTTAGCAGCTATTCTCTTTTGAATCCTTGGTAAATCAATAACACCATCACTAACACCTGGTTGTTATTTTATCCAACATTCTAGTCATTTCCACAATGTCATCTTTTATTGGTGTCTAATTCTTTGCATTATATTTACCCAGTATCGTTTCTGTTGCTTCTGAGTCCGTTCTTCATGCATTTCAGATTCTTTGCTGCACAGTCATACAATATTCAGTCAACCATTCCCTTCTCATTCCCATATTTAACTTATTTTATCTCTCCCTCACTCTCCACACACATTTCTTAATGCACTTATTAAATTCTTTCCTTCAGCTACTCTGTGATTCAAGTCCATTCTCATTTTTCCAATTACTGACACATCCACTCCTACATACCTGAAGGGCCTCAATTCATTCTGTCGCCATTCAAAGTACTAATCACCTTCCTTGTCACCCACTTCTACTTAGTTTCATAATTTACTTGGGTTCACATTCTCTGCCATATTAGTTATTCATGTTAACAATCAATATTTGATTGTAATGAAAAGTACTGTATTACATTGTTACAGATACTTGCCAAGTTATCATGTGGATTTCACAAACCAAACCAGCAGACAGTACTACCTCAATGTCAAGTTGGGGAGCTGTGGGAGATTACAGAAGTTGGGAAAGTACGTAATCTGGGGGGAAAGTTGGGAGACTCTTTAACTGAGGAACTGGGCTGTGTCACCATGGCTGATCTGAGCAGACTCTCCCTCCAGATGCTTCAGGGGAGATATGATGATAAGACAGCGTAAGTATTGCTTTTTTTCATAGCCTGATACACGGTTCAGGTAACTCTTATTGTAACCAATGTTTTCTGATGTGGTGTTCCCCTTCTACAACTCCTCATGATATACATCTAGTTTACCCATAGCTTCATTCAACACAGCATTACAAACCACCAGCATGGATTAATTTAGATACACAAAAAAAATTAGCCTTGCCTACAACCTGGAAATCTTAACAATTATGTAGGGTATTTAACTGTCTTTACAGTAGTACACCAAATAGTGTATGGAATAGGATCAAATGCCTCAAGTGTAAAATGATGGAGACATTTTCCTATTCATATATGCTCATTTTTTTGCTGACTAAAATATAGTATATACTGATTTGGTCCACAGATTCTGGCTACACAATCTTGGTAAAGGGAGTGACAGTGAACCTGTAACTTCACGTCAGCTTCCCAAAAGTATTGGATGTGGTAAAAATTTCCAGGGTAAAGAAGCACTTAATACAAGGGAGAAGGTGAGATATAGTATACAGTACTGTACAGTTTATACATATGCTTACGTTGTGTGTGTAAATTAGTGCATGTTTACATTTGCAAATGTGATGTCTCAGTATACACATGTAAATTTCATTCAGTTAGTAATCTAAATCTGGGGAAAGTTTTCCGGGTGCTTGGGAAAGATTTCCTTGGGTCTAAACTACGTATGTCGCACAGACAGACACAGCTGTATTTTTGTTATGCAATCACCACTGTACATCTACAATATATTATAAATAAACAAATTATAGTACTGTACTGTATACACTATACTGTACTCACCAGGTGATGCTGTCATCTTGCATTTGTGGTGCAGGCAGGCCAAATGGTAGATATGATGATACAGGATGGCCTGCTTTTGTCCTGTACCATCTACTGTAGCAGGTATTAATAACTGTCACTCTCCCCTCCCTCCATAAAGGAAGGAGTGTGCATGCACTGTATACCATACATACACCCTCTACACACTAGCTTACTAGACATACACTGTCCACTCTGCCATGTATAGTACAGTATACATAACTGTAATCACTTTTTTCATTTTAACACTGTATTCTTGGTTGATATTGTCTTGGTATAGCAATGTACAGTACTGCACAACACAAATTGTATGCAAAAACAGCAACGAGCGAGGGAATAACCTTGTATAATGGCAGCAGAATATGAACTAACCACACAAGCCTAAGGCCTGTATTCACAGTCGACATGCCTGACGGTGCAAATCAGCTGGATGGCCCACTGTTGCCACAACCCAGGCGTCGAGTACCCAAATAATATTTCCCTCAAACGCCAGAAAAATATAACCAACTCTGTTTTTGTGAGTGCAGAATGCAGTACAGTACTCTCTCCGTAATCAAGGGGGTTACATTTTGGAAAATGCAATGTCAGATCTGTAAAAGATAAAACTTCAAGCCTATGGGGAGAAAGAAGGTTAGGTAGACCATTCTTACAGACAGCCAATAAAGATATAAGAAGGGCAGTTAGCAGTTACTTACCAGTGATGATGATAACAGTGATCTGGAGATGAGGATGTAGGAGGGTCTGGCCCCAAGCCAGACCATCTAATAACACTACTTTCAGGCTCAAATGGATTGATTGATTGTGATAATTACATCCCTGGCGGTGCAACAGCTTAGGTCGTATGTCGTCGAATTAAAATGAAACCTTAAAAGACTAAAATCAAATAATGCAAGGTAAAAAACATAAGTAACAAATAACAGAACCTTTGTAAAAAACATTTAAACATTAATAGATAAAACTCAAAGCTTTTGCAGAAGAGGAGGATGTTCCCTCCTACACTACCCACTCCCCCTCCCACCATCACCAAAGAGAGGCAGTAAGACACCCCCAACCCCCTCCAGCACTGGGAGAGGTGCATACTATGGAGATCTCTGAGACTGGGGCACTCCACCATGAGGTGTCAAACAGTCATTGGGACCAGGCAGTTATCACAATGGGGAGGGGGCGCCACTTCCATTAATAACCCATGAGTCGGCCGTGTGTGGCCAATACGGAAGCAGGCCAAAGCAGTCTCCCGGCGGTGGGACAGTCCCTGATATCCCCAGTCACCCAATGCAGGATGGATGTCGCGGAGCTTGTTTGCTCCGACAGCATCCAACCTGCGTTGCCAACTTGAGCAGATGGCAGCTCTTCTTACTGGCTTCATATCAGAGGCAGCTAAAGGGAAATGATGTGCCACAGGACGAAAAGCAGCTGCTTTCGCCACAGCATCAGCATGCTCATTGACTCGGTCATCATTTTCTTTTGCAGTGGATTCACTTGCACCACTCACTTTATGTTGAGAGGGGGGGGGGGGGCATAGTTAAAAGGCAAATATATTTAAAAAAAATAACTAAAATGTGTTAGTGAATGGCTGAGTTCTGTGAGGCATTCATGAGGTGAAGGTCAGACAGGTTGTTATGTGCTCACATCCCATGCCACACACAAGGCTAAGTGCCAAGTCTTCGTGTGGAGGGATAATGCAGTCCTGCAAACATTACATTGTACATATGCCTTTATTAACAAATCTTTGCCCTTAACCCCTTGGGCAGCTTTAGAACACTGAATCCCTTGCTATGTCCCCCCCCCCCCTTCCCCAACATCATTCTACCCATCATACTCAGTTGAACTCATTTGCTTAGAGGGAGTTAAAACCTTATCAAGCCCTATAAAATTCATTGAACATACACAGCAAGGGATATTTGTGCCTTTAGTGAGAGCAACTCAAGCAAACATATTAATCTAGAGGTTAAATTTGATTGGTTCAAGGCATTCTGATGCTGGCAAATGAGCTTTTGACGTCACCAGAATGTTTGGGTTCACCACCATGTCGGTGAGAAAAAATTGTGAGAAAGGAGCCAGAAAAATTGAAGAATTTGCTCAAAGTGTGACACATTTAACTGTTAGTAACATAACTCAGAGCAAAAGTGGAGTTATGGAAAGGCTTTTAAGAATTTGAAACGTCCATCCATTGATGAAGAAGTAGGCAATCCTGCCGCTTCATCTCAATAACTTCACTCCCTACCGCAGCCAGTCTCTATAGTACTCAGTCTCCTCATAAGTCTTTATCTCATTGGTATATATTTTATATTACATACTGTACTGTATTTATTTTAACTTAAAATAATATAATTTAGGACTTTAATTAATATTTTAGTGAGAAATTGACATGAAATGTCCCCCAGGAACAAAACCCCTATTTATATTATAAGATCTATAATAAACTTGTGTTCACTATTTGTTTCACTAATACTGTATTGCACTCTTCACGAACACAGTCATGTCGAACTTACAGTGAGGTTTACCTGTACTGTATAATAGTATCCATGTGTGTAACCATTTGTCAGGTTGGTTTCTGGACAATTTCTGTAGTTCTGTAAACACTCATTTACTATACTTGGACAGAAGCTTCCTGTATAGAAAAGGATGACACTTAAATATAAGGGTGAAAGGTCAAGGTCAGTTTGTAGTGCTGTAATGTTTTACAAACATTTGTTTCATTATTTACTAATTTTCCTTTTCTTGTTGCAGGTACAGAAATGGATGCGAAGTCTTGCAGATGAGCTGTCAGAACGCTTGGATATAGATCAAAGTGCAGTATGTTTTACCTATTCTTTTCATAAAATATGAGCAGTGGTACTCACAAAATTACTTTTGGAATAAAGAGTTCTGGACTTTTAGCACTAGCAGGTTCAGTGTGATTTTAAGTTATGGCAATACTGTATTGTATTGGTAAAATTTAATAAAATAACTAAATAATTATGTCCATGTTCAGACAAGCTCATAATCCATGTAATAAATCATGTGAAATTAGTATTGTATTGTATATAATAGTTTTAAATAAGAAAAACTTTCCGGTACATCTTGAAGACTGTCATTAAATTACAGAACAAGCGTCGTGCCAAGACCCTAACTGTTAGTGTCAGACTGGACAGTGATGAACGGTGGTGCTCACTGTCTAGGTCATGTGGCCTCCCGTCTTATAGTGCAGAGCGGATAACACGGCTTGGAATATCCCTGATACAACACACTAACCAGGCTTCACCCAGAGATCCTGGATGGTGAGTCTATATCTGTGCAGCCCTTCACCACCTTGCTGAAGGAAGTACTGAATCAAAAAATTTTAGCCAGGAGCTTGAGACAATAGTTACTCTTTTTGCCTGATTTTAACCCCCAAAATGTTCAACTAAGTGTAATTAGACTTGGTAATAAATGAATTTAAAACTTACTGTAGACACAAATTATTTTAAATGACTAATTGATGTTAAAGGTAAGGTACAGAGCAAAGCAATAGTATTATTGTCATTAATTTTGTTTTAGGATATTAAAGGGTGAATTTTATGTATTTTGATTGTAATTTTCAGTCATTCACCATTGATAAATATGACAGTCACTGCTTAAATCACTAAATGAATGTTATTAAATGAAAAATAAGACACTTTCAGGAATGTATCATTACTCTTCATTTCATGACCAACTGTCTAAATCACTTCCATTGTCCAATTTCAGGACACCGGTCATCAAACACATTGGACTGTCAGCTGGGAAATTTGAGGACTGGGAAGGGGCTAGCTCAGGTAACATTCAGGATATGTTTAAGAAAGCTGCGATGAATAAATCATTACGTGATGAGAAATTAAATTCTAGTACTTGTAACGATGGGATGCCTGAACACTCTGATTCAGGAAGTTTTAAACCTGTGACCGTAGAATGTTCCAGCAAAATCTCCGAGACTTCTGTCTGTACAAGTTATAAATCTTGTGAAAATACCGACAAAATGGAGAATGATGTTCCCTCCAGAAGTTCATGGAACAATAAGATCAATGAACAGTCTGTACTTAGTCCAGACAGTACTGAACATATACCTGAAGTAACCAAAGACTCTCATGAAATATCAAGCAAATCATTCTTTAAAAATTTTCTCTTAAGAAAAAAAAAATATATTGAGATTAACAGTACTGATTTTACCAGAGAGAGAGATGGTGATGAATCTGAAATATTGTATAATGATGATAATTCTGAGAAAACCCAGAAAGAAGCTGAAAATAGTGACGAGAATGATCTTGACCTTCTTGTTAGTTTCATAGATGAAGAAGAAAGTGAATGTAGTAGATCTAGTGAAAGTGTTACTGCCAGTGACAAAAAATCTGGTGTAAAAGACAGTACTGCCACACAAGATAAAAGCGTGGTGTGTGAAAGTCCAGACCTCTTTGGCTCACAAGATTCAGAAGGGTCAGGCAAAATGATATTGGAGGACAAAGATCGCATCAACAAGAATGATAGTGAAAAGATAAGGTCAACACATAAAGGCGAGAATCAGAATGAAAAACCAAAGCCAATTAGTGATGGTCCTACAGGCTCTCCTTTAGAAAATAATCTGTTAGAAAAGCCGGTTGAAAATAACACTACGTCTTGTGGACAGGAATTACACAAAGACAAAAATGTACAAAACTCAAAAATATCTGCAAAAGAACTCTTCCCAAATTTGGACAATTATGATGAATCATTATTACCTCTGCTTCCACAAGACCTGAGACTTGAGGTAGAAAGAGAACTTATAAAACACAAAAACAAGCAAGAAAAACAATTTGCCAAGAAGTTGGAAATTTTGAAATACGTTAATGGTAGTCCTTCAAAACGCCATATACCAACAGAAGTGAAAAACGATTCAAATTGTAAGCCAATTAATCCTCAGTGTTCAGAAGCTCATGCTGTTGCAGGTCCTTCCAACAATGCCTTGCTTAATCATTCAAACATTAGTAGTAAAAAAATTGAGAGCAAACAAATGTGCTACAGTACACTTGATGAAGACACTACAGGTAACAAAATAGCAGAATGTGGTAATTTTGGTGAGAATAAATCAAACATCACAGACTCAAGTGATAACATAGACACAGTTGAGTGTGATGAGTGTGGATGTCAGATTTCTGCATTTGAACTGCCAGAACACTTGGACTATCATGTGGCGCTAAAGCTACAAACTGACATACAACGGGATATGAATATCGTTCCTAAACAAGGAACTGCTAAGGCGATTGTGATGGAAAACAAGAAAAGTAAAGGGAAGAAAAGAGGAAGGACAAGTAAGGCAGAAAAATATTTAGAGGGTAAAGGTAAAAAGAATCAAAAACTTGATGTATTCTTCAAGAGATGACACTAGTTTTGATACGTTCAGGAAATTGTTGTTTGTTTTTTAGAAATAAAGTAAATTAAAGGGTGACAAAGTCACATTAATATATTTGTATTACAGAGGGTAAGATTTAATATACTTAATATACTATTAACCAGAGTAATCTTTAAATGAAAATAATCCTCTCCCTCCCTGCGGATGCCCATGCATGCCAGTACAATATATCCAAATCAATACAAAACTGTACTATATTTACATTAATTTATTCAGTCAGTCAGCAAGTCCAGTTACCATATAGTATACTGTATAGCCAGTACAGTACAGTATTAGGTTAGTTCAACTACAATCTTGATGCCCTTTCTTGTCATATCACATTGTGGCCTCACTTTTACAGTACAGACATCCCCCGGGTTACGGAAGGGTTCCATTCTGGAAAATCTTTCCGTAACGTGAAACCATTTTTCCCATATACTGTACAGTACAGTACAATACTTCCATTATAAAAGTTGAGATGCATTCCTAATGAAATTTTTTGAGACCCCAAAATGTGATGCAAGCGCATATATGTAGGAAATTAGATGGTTTTAACCACATATAATGAGTCATTCATGATGTAACACGATAATAAATGAATAAAACACTCAAATAAATGAATAAAACACTCAAATTTTACTTACCAGAAATGATGTTGAGTGCTGCTGGAGGTGGAGGTGAGGTTGTGGGATCGGAGTTCCTGGGAGTTACCTCCTTAAAACATCAAGTTTAATGTCCAATGCAATTCTTTTATGGAATCTTTTATCACCACTCTTTTTACTTGAACTTGATAGTCTTTTTCCACTCATTTTGAATAAGGGTCCACAGTAACACAGATGCATCACTGGGGAAAGAATTCAAACTGAGCAGCTCCATCGTTATGGTGAATGCTGGCAACTGGGGGAGGTGAGCTGCCTTCCAACCACCTTGTGGCTACCACATGTGCATTCACACATAATATTTTTGACAATTTTTTGTAAAAATTTTTAATTACTGTATTTAAAAAAATTAAAATAAATAAAATAAAAATTCGGTCAGGGCGAATTTTTTTCCGTAACCCCAAATTATGATTAAATTTCAAAATTCCGTAACCCGGGGGATGCCTGTACTGTATAATATTATGCAGGCAACAACTGTTTAGCTGGCCTATAATATCCTTAATCATTATTTGAGGAAATCACAGTACTGTATGGTTATCTAAATAATTCACAAAACTATCTTAAAAGTAATGGAAATAAGCCAGTCACAGTTAATTGCAGTCATTCAGGTCTCACTTGATCTTCAGCACATCCCAGCTCCTTCAAATTGGTATGTGATTATGGAATTTCAATACAGTATAAAGTTAACTATTACTGTATATTATCATATGAGTGTATAATAGTAAGCTTAGCCCAGGGGATGCTCTGCAAACTATATAACAAGAAAGGTAACACCAGAATTATCCTATAATAATAGAGTAAGTACAGGTAAGCTCTGAGGATTGGCTGTACACTTATTTGTCTGGGACTAACAAAAACAGTTGGATTACAAAATAATGTACATACTGTACAGGTATTAATTTATATCTGAATATTAAAACTGTGTTGGAGGGGATAATTGGTGTATGTTATTACTGTACATGTTTGGGTTGAACAAAAATAACTTATTATATTTTTGTTTAATGTTGATGTACTGGAGGAGGCATTAACATACAGTACATGTTATATATTATGTACAAGTATTTATGTCATGGTTAGCTGTAACCTATAGGTACAGTACTGTACATGGTTGGTATGATCAAAGGCAGTCAGGTTACAGAGCTACATTCTGTATTTTTAATGTTGTACACAATAGAAAACTTTAATATGTACAGTAAACCCATACACATATTTCACACTATTCACTGAAACTATATTAATGAAAGAAAAGGTATGCTTTTCACCACATTGAGTGGCTATTAGTGTGTATGACAGGTAATGGTAGTGGAGGGTGTGAGGCAGTGGTAGCCTGCACTCACTGCATCATACTGTACTCTTAAGCCACTCAATTTCTGAAAATTATTCCAATCATATCTTAACTGATTCATGAAATAGAATTAAGTAGTTGTGAGGATTTATTGCAATTATTAAAGTTTTTTTTTTTTGGGTGGTGGGGGGGGATGAATATTGTACTGTATTTATATAGTCGTACAGCTGTGATTGGTTACCTAACTTAACAGATGGGGAAGTGAAGGCGAGTGAGTGCAGTGCCGGCCACAACTTTACAGTACTGTACAATACACTGTTAGTCTTCCCAGATAAGTTGAATGTATCACAGTACACTATATGCTTGGTACATTACAATATGCTATTACAGTACAGGGGACCTCCCAAGTTCGCGGATTTTTGTTTCGCGGTCCTCTATAATTCGCGGATGACACCATAGATGTACCCAAGAATGTCTGTGGGTAGTTTTAAAGTTGCTTGCATTTTCGCGGCTGGGACAGGGAGCCATTCGTTCTGGAGACAAGAAATTTCCTTTACCTGTATTGTAAATATGTGTATGTGTATGTGTGTGTGTGTGTGTGTAGACACACAAAACAAATACAAATAAATAATTGGAAAATCCTCTCAAATAGTCAGAAACAAATTTATTAAAAATATGAGTCTACCCTCAAGTCTATGCTTTATTACTTTATTAATAAAGCATGGACTTGAGGGTAGACTGTCACATTTTTAATAAATTTGTTTTTGATTATTTGAGTATTTTCCCATTATTATTTATTTGTATGTGTTTTGTGTGTGTGTGTGTCTACACACACACATATATACAATACAGGTAAAATAAATAATTGTCCTTAGGGCAAACACATAAAGGGAATATACATTTCTTTGCACAAAAGTAAAAATATAACCCCCTCCCCCCAGTCCGCAAATGTTATTCACGAATTTGGCGATTCACAGCCATTTTTGAGACCTAACCCCCCACGAATTTTTTGGGCCCCCTGTATTACAATACAATACATTATTATACTTGTGGTAAAGTACATTATGAGAGTATTAAAATACATTATACAGTACTGTACTTGTTACAGTACACTATCCTAATACAGTGTATTACAGTCATTATACTTGTGTTACAGTACACCATCTTAATACAGTGTATTACAGTCATTATACTTGTGTTACAGTACACCATCTTAATACAGTGTATTACAGTCATTATACTTGTGTTACAGTACACCATCTTAATACAGTGTATTACAGTCATTATACTTGTGTTACAGTATACCATCCTAATACAGTGTATTACAGTCATTATACTTGTGTTACAATACACTATGTGAGTATTATAGTACAATATACCTGTACCAATACTCTATACTAATGTTACAGTACACTACAACACTATACTACAGTAGTGCACAAAGATAGTATTACTGTACACTAGCAGGTATTTATATAAACTAAGTCTATGAGTACAGCTAGTGTTATACTGTAAGTATTATGTCCACTGTTCTAGTTTACTATGCTAGTGTTAAAGTATAACATATTATAATTACAAATAAAGCTTCAGTTACAAATAGATAACTACACTGAGGCCAGAGACCTTATAAGGCCAAATAAATAGAACAGATTTGTATAAGAATTATTTAGGTGATGGCAGTTTTGGTAGAGGACGATGGACAGGTCACAGTTAATCAGAAAGATGTGTGAAAGTAAAGAATTGCATCACAGTTACCCACACTTGAGTTACTTGTTGGGTACTGTATGACCTATCCAGCAATGGCAGGATGGAGGTAGCCAGTTCAGAGAGAAGCTGAAGTAATATTTATAAAATAGGGTGAAGGAGTCAACATTGCAATGAACAGAAAGACCGATATATGAACATGATTCTCAATTTTTTTAAGGCAAATGTAACTAAAGATTTTGAATTATATGGAGATTTCCAAGAAAGGTTACAGGTCATTGATGCCAAGTTTATTTATTGTAGTTAAGCATTGGAGATGGGTATGAAGAGTTTTTTAAAAAGAAAAAAAAACTGGGGTATTAGAAGTGCTGAAGTTTATCTGGCTACATCAACCCCATTGGGAATTTTTTTCCAATTCCAAATTTAAGTAAGTTGTACAAATGAAGTGACAATGAGCAGAGGATTCTCATCTTATACCCCATTTGAGAAATATGGAATGCAAAAAACTTGAAATATATACACTGATGATGTCAGCTAACTCCCACTGATGATGGCTACTGTTTAACCCGTATACTGTGGTAGAGTGATTCGCCTGTCAACCCACCAGTGCACAAAAAACATCTATACCCTTGTGCATTAAAAAATAGTATGTAGAAGAATAGAGAAACCAAATATGAGTCCAGTAACTACCTTAGTTTGATCCTCGTGAATTTTTTAAGTCGATGGCTTTTGGGGCAGCGGGAGGCTGCGCCATGAGCTTGGCTTGTAGCCAACCTCATGATGCTGCCTGGGCCGTGAGTCATCCACAGATTCCTCACTTTCACTACTACTGTACTTTCATGATATTCCATGAGTAATTTCCTTTTCAAAAGAGTCTCTTTCTTCCACTTGTCTTTGGATTTACACCTCAGCCAGTGGAAGAAGAGATGAGTTGAATGACATTGTGTAGTATATTATATTAATATTACAATACCCATACACATCATATTTGAGAATACTGTACTATACTATGCCAGTAGAGGTACAGTATTGCAGTTCACTATGCTAGAGATACAAAACTCTATGCAAGTGTTGGAGTGCACCGCCAGTGTTACATTTCACACTGCTAGGTTAGTATAAAATTACATTTTATTCCTAGTACAACTATACAGTATGCTGAACTAGTACAGTACAGTATTATAGGGTACTATGCTAGTACAGTACAGCATTACTGGGTACTATGCTAGTACAGTACAGCATTACTGGGTACTATGCAAGTACAGAACAGTATTACAGGTACTATGCTAGTGCAGTACAGTATTTCTGGTTACTATGCTAGTACAGTACAGTATTACTGGGTACTATGCTAGTACAATCCAGTATTACAGGGTACTATGCTAATACAGTACAGCATTACTGGGTACAGTACTATGCTAGTGAGTGTTATATGCTAGTATAGTACTGCACATTATTATAATACAGTACAGTAAACTCCTTGT